AGAGGAAGGAAGAAGCTGTGGGCAGTAAACCAAGGAATCTGGCGAGCACTGGTGGAGTACAAAATAAGATCTCCTTGTCAAATGGTTTGTAGAAAAAAAAAAAACAGGAAAGTTGTGAGGTACAGGCAACTGAGGCCCAACCCCCTTCCTCCTCACCCCCACACAGGCTGACTAATAACACCCTCACCCTAACATCATCTCCTCCAGGTCCCCAACTCAGTATGGACAGGCTAGCCTAAAGCATCTGAGTCCAAAGACCTCAGGACAGAATAGGCCACATCCCACCCCCCACCCCAAGTCATTCTGGCTTAGACCCCTTCAGCCTCTAGTGACGTGCGGACCCAGGAGGGAGCCCCCTCTGGAATTGGCCTTCTAGTTAGAGAGTTCTACCTGGATGAGAGTAATATTAGCAAGCATATATTGGGTGCCTACTAGGTGCTAGGCAGTGAGCTCTTTTAATGCAACTAACCATCTGATAAAGGTGAACTGGAACTTAAAGCAAGCATAATCAGTCAGGAAGGTCTATGGGAGAAGCTAGGGCTTATGGAAGTTCTTGCGCTATGTATAATTGCGAGAACTCTATATGAGAGAATCCTGCAAGAAGAACTCTATAGGAAAGCTCTATGGTCCTAACGTCCCCTTCCATTAACTTGCATCCTGGCACAAAGACCAGAGTGTGCATGTGGCTTGCCTTGTCTGTGTGCTCTGGGTTACAATCCTTTCTTATTCCCAAATAAATCCTTTTGGTGACAAAATACTTAGTCGATATTATTTTTCAGTCAACACATCTAACTGACTCCTCCAAACTACCCTTTTCATTTATTCACAGGTTGATTTGACAAGTATTTATTAAGCACCTACTGTGTGCTGGCTCCATTCTAGATACAGGAGTACAACAATGAACAAGACAGACAAAATCCCCTGTCCCACCAACTTACATTCCAGAGGAGAGAAGACAGTAAACAAGATAAATGAGTCAAATGGATCTCAGGTTAGATGGCAACTAGGTGTCACTAATCTCATTTTATAGATGGATAAACTGAATCTCCCTGAAAAGGGAAGTCACTTCCCAAGGTCATACAGGGGAGTGAGCTGGGACTTTATTTTGCCTCTCTGGGTCTCCTCCCAGCTGAAGCACAGAGAAAGGGAGAAGGAGGGGAGACATCCAGAATAGGGCAGGGCTGCCTGGTACAGCTGTGCAGGTTCTGCCCTGCATTACAAAGACCACAATGTAAATGCTGCCCCCTGGAATCATAAAGGGCACAAGAATCACAAAGACGTGCCATGACCTGGGGACAGGTCACAGGTAGCCCTGGAAAGGAAGTCTCGATCACCATTGGTCTAGTCTTTATAGCTTGCTTTTTCCACTTAATATATTGTAGCCACTTCCCCATTTTGGCACATGAAAATCTAGCTCAGCGATTCTCCCAAGACTGATCCCTATACCAGCAACATTGCCATCACCTGAGAACTTGTTAGAAATGCAGAGTCTGGGACCCAACAACCCAGACCTCCTGAGTCAGACACTTCTAGGCTGTGTCCAGCTTTTACTCCACATGAAAAGGGGAGCCATGGGAGGGTTTTAGCAGAGGAATAACATGATCTGATTTCTCTTTTGATGGGCGCACTTTGAGAGAGAGCGGTCAGGAAAGACAAGAACAAGGAGAGAGCTCTGCAAGTCATTCTACGTTGCCTTGGATGAGGCTGGTGGCCATGGAAGCAGTGGGAAGGGTCGTGTTCTTGATAGATTTCAATGGTGAAGCCAAAGGCATTTGCCAGTGATTTGGCTGTCTGAAGTGAGAGAAGGACAAGCATAAAGTATTATCCCCAGGTTTGGGGCCTGAGCACCTGGGAAAATGGTGTTATGTTCCCCGCAAAAAAAATCATATGTTGAAATTTTACCCCCCCCCCATGTGATGATATTAGGGGGTAGGTCTTTGGGAGGTGACTAGGTCATGAGAGTGAAGCCCTCGCGATGAGATGAGTGCCCTTATAAAAGGGACACCGAGGAGCTTTCTCATCTCTTCTCCACGTGGGGACACGGCAAAGAGTCAGCCATCTGAAATGTGGAAGAGGGATCGCACCAAAACCCAACTGTGCTGGCACCCTGATCTTGAACTTCTAGCCTCCAGACTTGTGAGAGATAAGTTTCTGTTGTTTATAAGCCACCCGGTCTGCAGTATTTTGTTGTAGCAGCTCAAATGGACTGAGACAGCGTGTGAAGCATGAGAGCCCACCTGGAGGTGCCCGGTCAATGGCTGGACACAGACATACACCTGCAGTTCAGGAGACAGGACACATCTGGAGACAGATTTTGGGATTGCCCACCTAAAGGTGGTATATTCGTTTCCTAGGGCTGCCAAAACAAATAACTACAAATTGAATGGCTTAACACAACAGGAATTTATTATCTCACAGTTCTGGAGGCCAGAAATCCGCAACCAAAGTGTCAGCAGAAGCATGCTCCCTCCAAAGGCTCCAGGGGAGATTCTGTTCCCCACCTCCTCCAGCCTCTGGTGACCCTAGGCTTTCCTTGGCCTGTGGTCACATCACTCCAATTTCTGCCTTCATCTCACATGGTGTCCTCCCTGTGTGCATGTCTGTGTCCAACTTTCTCTCTTCTTATAAGGACACCGGTCATTGGATTAAGACCTACCTGATCCAGTATGATCTCATCTTAACTCGATTATATCAGCAAGGACTTTATTTTCAAATAAAGTCACATTCAGGAGTTCCAGGAGTTCGGAGTTTGACATACATTTCAGGCAGGACACAATTCAATCCACAACACCTTGTCTAATGAAATTTATTGCTGCATAATCAGGTACCCTTTCTCAACAGTGCCAAGCTCCCATTGAATGGCTTCTCTTTGTGTTCCAATGCAAAATTTCAGAAACGGTAACAAATTAGCACATTTATTACAGTTGCATATTTAATGCAGTATTAAACAATGTGTTATACTCTTAAATCTGTATATAAGTTACCCCTAATGCAACACGTATGAAATGTAATATCAATTCTTTACAGTGGCAACTAGAGGGATACTAGAATTGCAACTTGTTTTTTGCGAAAAAAATTCGCTAAGATTTATAGTTTTATTTATAAGTAACTTTATTTGCTTATTTAAATTAAATTAAATTAATTAAAATATTTATTTTGAATAACTATTTAAACTTTCGATATTCACTAAATACATCATTGGTACGGAGCACGGTGTTTTTTTTTTAAGACAAATTAGAAGGTTATCAAAGAAAAACAATTTTTCAAAAATATGATATGAAAAATTTTTTCCCTCCGGAGATCAGGGGTGCCCAGAGATTTCCAGAGCCAAGAAGATCCCCACAACTGATGTTCACCTGATCCCACACGGGGGCGCGCCGCGCCTTGATGTCTCCGCCCCGCCACCAGGTGGTGCCAGAAATTCCGAAGGCCTCTGAGGTCGTTCATCTCTACGATCCTCGAGGCAGCTGCGCAGCCCGGAAGCTGTGGCTGGCGAAGGGGTGTGCTTCCGAGTAGGAGCTAGGTGACCTCGGCTGCTGCAGGAAGCTGCGGCGACAGCAGCCATGGGGGCGCACTTGGCCCGACGCTACCTAAGCGATTCCTCAGGGGAGCCAGACCCTCTGCGGATGCCCACCTTCCCGCCCGACTACGGCTTCCAAGGGCGCAAGGAGCGCGGTGAGGCCAATGCGCAGGCGCGGCCGGCGGGAGTGGCACTCGGGCGCCGTAACCCCGGGGTACCCAGGGTTGGGCTCCGCTCTGACCTCGACCGAGAGGACGCCAGAGGACTCGTGTGACCCTGCCTGAGTGTGGAAACATAGCGGGCAGAGGACATGGTTGGAGTAAAAAACTCGGGGCCGTGAGTGGCGATATAGAGTTAACGAGGCGCTCGGAGCTGGCCTTTGTCCTCGAGTCAGTGGGGAGCTGTGGGAGGGTTCATGACGGAAGGGAGGTGTTCATTGTCCCTCTGCCACTGCTATGTTTAGGTATGCAGAGGAAGACACAAGGGGTTCGCGCCGTACATACTGTCCTGCACGTTGCTTTTTTTATGTAGTCATATCACAAGCATATCGAGCGCCGGTCCTGGGCCAGGTCCCAGGCTGGGAACCACGATGCAGCAGGCACTGACTAAAGGGAATTCTCAGCGCTGGGGGGAGACAGCGACACCAGGCAGATCTTGAGGACGGCACCTGGGAGTATCAAGGCAGGCTTCCAGGAGGCGATGGCTGGAAGCGAAACTTAGGTGAATAAGAGTTGACCACACGGAGACCAAGGAGAGGGGAGGACCAGTGTTTGTAAGCAGTAGAGGAATACGATCAGATTTGTTTTGTCAGAAAGTTCGTGCTGGCTGCTGGGTGGGCGATGACTTGGAGTGTGCAGAGGTCTGGATTTGAGACTACATTGGGAGGTGGCCTCCTCCAGTGGCCCAACTCCTGGTAGTTCAGCCCCGACTGAACCTGCAGTCCATCCATCCACCCACCTCCTTGCATGTTAATCCTTCCCATTGCCTCTCACACCCTGCTTTGCCCATAATCTGTTTTGTATATACAACCCCCCTGCTCTTCTCTCGCGCTTGGCTTAACCCTAGTTAAGCTCAGCTCTCCTTGGCTCCTGTCCCTGTATAGCTAAATGTCATGAGAGAAAAACACTCAACCTTTGTGATTCCCCAGTTGACCCTTCCTGCTGCTAGCTTTCCTGTTACATACATTCCCCGGCCCTTCCCTCTCTCACTCCCTCCCCGAGACCTTCTCTCTCAGGCTCCAGCACCTCCTTCCCACCCCCTTTAAGCTAGTCACTTTGTATCCTCTCATTAAGAAAATAGAAGCTGTCAAAAGAGCTCTCATGGCTCCCTGCATCCCTGGGACTCCGCCTTCTCTCCTGTTACTTCGGATGATCCAACCCTGCTCCAGACAAACCCCCTTGTACCCTCCATCCCATCCTCTCACGTACCCAAGGGCTGCCCCAACCATTCTCCCTCTCTTGCAACATTGATTTTCCCATTAACATGGGAATAAAATACGCTGTTGCTTTCACTGTTTTAAAATCCCCTCGTGGCCCACCTCCCCTTCCAGCCATCCCAGTTCACTGCAAAAGCTCTTGTCAAGTTTCTCACTCACACACTGTCGCTGAGCTCCCTTGTCCATTCTCAGTTCTAACCCCACTGCTGCAGCAACAGGCACAGCTAATCCCTGCCACTTCCTGGAAGCCCCTCCTCACCTGGCTCCCAGGACCCTGCAGTCCGGCCCACCTCACTGTGGGCTTCTTCACTGATTCTTCCCCATCTCCTAAATGTTGGGGAGCCTCAGGGCGCAGGCTGTCTCCACTGTCCATTCCCCACTCCCTGGGGGTCTCTGTTAGTCTCCTGGTTTCAAATGCCTTCTGTGTGCCAATGCTCCCAAGTTTTTATCTCCAGCTGGGCCTTGACCCTGAACCCCAGACTCATGGAACCCACTGCCTGCTTGGCATCTCTGCACACTTAACGGGCATCTTGCACTCAGCAGGTCCAAAGCAGCTCCTGGATTTGAGGGTGATCTGGCTGTAACATGTCACCCCATTGATCACCAGGGTTAATTCGGCTGATCTGGCTGGCTAGGCAGGTGCCTCCTTCCTCCCTGACCGCTCCCTGTGCGTCCCCCCGGAAGCTGTGCACTCAGTCGAAGAGGATGACCTTCCTCAATGGAGGAGAGGACTGTTCTTTGGTCAAGGGTAGAGAAGTAGCTGCACTTTCCTGCTAGAACCTCCAAACAAGCCCTCAAAACAGAACTCCTGACCTCCCCACCAAGCCCGTGCCTCCCTCCTGCTCTGACCACGTGCTCAAGCCAAAGTCCCTGGCGCATCCCAAAGCCTCTTCTCACCTCAAGGCCTTTGCACTTGTTCTGCTACTGGGAACGCTCTTTCCACGGGTGTCTGTGGGACTCACTCCCTCACCTTCAGATGCCACCTTCTAAGGGACCCCTCATTCTAAAGTTGTGACCCACCACCCAACACAGCCTCTCTCTCCTTTGCTTTATTTTTCCGATACTTTGCATTATGAACATTCTGTGACACTATCTCTGTTTGTTCTGTCTTCCCTCCAAAGGTAAGATCCTTGTCTACTATGTTCCCTCACATATCCCCAACACCTAGCACATAATAGGTGCTCCATAAATCCTGACTGTTGACTGGTTATTGCCAGAGCACCAGGTGCTCATGGGGCCACATTGCCATGGAAACCAGCCGGGGCCTGGGGCTCATCAGCCTATTGGGTGAGAATTGAAGCTATGGGTTAAATTGAGCAAAGGCTCTCAGCAAGAACCTCAGGAAGCCAGCGCCATAGAGATGGGTAGAAATGCAGGGAAGGTGCGGCGGGGGTCGGGGGAGCCAGGGGAAAATGTTGGAAGCTCGCTTTCCTGGGGTCTCGCACTGGTGAGAGCCGTGTGTGAGCAGTGCTCGATGGAGTGTGGAGGCTGGAGGGGGTGGGATCTAGGGGCTGCAGAGGCAGGAGATAAAGACCTAAGCCTGAGGGAGACAGAAACAGGGCTAGGAAGCAGAGGGGAGAGAAGCCAGCGGGCGAAGATGACAGGTGAGCTGGGAGATCACCAGCACAGGGTGTGCGCCCACAATTTCTAAGGGCCCCATTCGGCCTTCGGAAGGTTGATTTGGTCCAGGGTCGGATCTGCCAGTTCCGTGGGGCCCAGGCCCAAGGGATAGTTCAGCTCTCCGTTCGGCAGGCACTAAACACTTTACATGTATAGTATAGCTCCTTAACGCTCACAGTTGACTCTGGAGCTGGGGACTGTTAGTCATTAGGGGGAGGAAGCTGAAGCTCCAAGAGACCACTCCCTGACAAGAAGGCAGAGCTGAGATCCAGGTCACCCTGGTAGCCCGGCTGCCCACCGGGTTGTGCCCCACAGAGGGGAGCACTGGAAAAAAGTTTTCTCTGCAGGGTGGGGCTGTCTGGAGAGTGACCCCAGGGGTGGAGATGGGGAGACGAAGATCCAGCGTGGATGCTGAGGTGACCCTTACTACCTGGGCTTCAGTGTCCAGGCTCCCTTTGTGTGAATTAGGAAAGGACACTCTGTCAGAAGATGGCCATCATCCCCTGCCATCTGCTGCCATGTCATCGACGGGGGACACTCCTGAGCTGTGGCTCCTGATTGCAGCGTGGGCCTGCTGGGTCTCCCTGGAGTCAAGAAATGACAGGGGGCCTCCAGCAGTTACACTTGGAAAAGCCTGCCTGAGCTGAGCCCTGCCTGCTCCCCTCCCCACAGAGATGGTGGCCACGCAGCAGGAAATGAACGACGCACAGCTGGTGCTCCAGCAGCGGGATTACTGTGCCCATTACCTCATCCGACTGCTCAAGTGCAAGCGTGACAGCTTCCCCAACTTCCTGGCCTGCAAGCATGAGCAGCACGACTGGGATTACTGCGAGCACCTTGAGTGAGCTGCACCCTCACCTGTACCCTCCCCCCCATTCCCACCTGACCCCCAGCCAGCAGCTCCTGAGGCAAAGGACGGTGAACTAACTCAAGTTTCTAGCCAGGCCCCACCTTAATCGAAAGAGAGCTCTCAAGGGGCCTATTGAGAGGGGGCAGGGGGAAGAGTCTGGGTGGGGCACGCAGCTTTGAGGCCACCTGGAGGAGTAGCCAAGCCATGGTTTCAGGTGGGAGGCCTGGGGGTGCACTGGTATCCACCAGGGAGGCTGGGGGCAGACCCCACACTTAAACCACAGGCACACCGGTCTCCCCGACTCAAGGCCTCCCTAGAGTGCTCTGGGACAGACGTTCCAGCCCCCTTGGCTTCTCAGGGCTATGGGAGGGAGGGCCACACCTGAGCAGACAGCAACATGCTCTGCCCACAGCTACGTGATGCGCATGAAGGAGTATGAGCGGGAGCGGCGGCTGCTCCAGCGGAAGAAGCGGAGAGAGCAGAGGGAGGCAGACCTGGCCAGAGGCCAGGGGCCCGGTGAGGTGGCCCCTGAGGTGGCCCTGTAGTGGGCTCGCCCACCACCCTGTGGACCAGTAGAGAAATAAAAGCCTCCAGACCCTCAGCCTGAGTCCTGGTCCTTCCTGTGGTGTGCTGGTCCCCAAACCGCAGCCCCCCCCCCCACAAAAAAAAAGAACACACACAAGTCTGAGTCCGGCTATGCAGGCAGGTTTTATTCCATGCGCTGAAGAGCAGTGGTCCTCACTTCTCTCCCAAAAGGACAAGGGGTGGGGGGATGAAAGCCTGGCGGAGCCTAGCCAGTGGGGTGGGCAGCTCAGAGCAGGAAGGGGATGATGGGCATGCGCAGGGGTGGGTAGTCTCGGAATTCCTTCAGGTAGCTGCGGTGCTTGCCCTTGGCCCAGATAGTCATCTGGGTGAAGCCCACCAGGGAGAAGAGGGCCACTGCAAGGCAGAGAAGGGGGTCAGGGAGGGCAGCATGGCCTGGGACGGCAGGGCCCAGCTGAGGGAAGGGGAGCAGGCTCACCTGGGAGACACTGTGTCATGATGGCAAAGCCAATCCAGGACCCCACCTGTAACAGTGGGCAGAGGTGAGGGCAGGCAGGCCTGGGCAGGCCAGCTGTTCTACTGCAGCCTCACCCATGCTGTGGGCCACCTTCCCCCCAACCCTTACTTTGCAAGCAGGGAGTGGAAACCAATCTCTAATGCTAGAGGGATCCTCAGTCAAGGGGGGGGGACACATGTCAAAACTGTCCCTCAGCCCCCAACCCCCAGAAGTCCAGCCTTAACACCTCCCAACCCCCAGAGGCCATAGTCTCTCCAGCTCCAGATGATCCAAGTTTGAACTGCAAAAGCAGCTGCTGAGCCAGGGAACCCCCTACTAAGGACTGGACCCTCCAAATGGAACCTGAAGCCCCAGGAGGGAGAGAGGAGGGGAGCGGGGCATGCCCTCACCTCATAGGTGTAGTTGGGGCAGGACACCAGCAGGAAAAGCCATGTGAAGGGGTTCTTAGTGGGGTAGGGGATCTTCCTGGTCTTGGACCCTGATGACAGGATGGGGAGGGCAAGTGAGACCTCCTGGCCCAGCCTGCCTGCCCCTCCCCCCCAACCCCCGCCCAGATAATGTCACTCACCTGCTGGCCGCAGGTCCCGCAGGGCCATGTGGATGGAGAAATTGCCCAGCTGACAAATCTGTCACAAGAGCAGGGTCAGCTCAGAACCCAAAACTCCCCAGACTTTCTCCGCCCCATCGCCCATCCAGCCTGCTTACCACTTACCACAAAGATGGCAAGTGCCAGTTTAACCTGCTGAGCTCCATAGGCTAAAAAGGAAGCAGAGAAGGGAGGCCCATGAGGGGTACCCAGTAGGGGATGGTGGCTCACAGGGGAAGCAGGATCCCCAAAGCCACTTACTGGGGGGCGTGTAGAGAGGGTGGTTGATGTAATAGGCCATCCACGCAGCGAAGCCCCAGTAGTAGGTGCAGTTCTGAAAGGCAGCAGGGCTAGGATGGAGCCTGGCAGGGCGGAGGGTGGGGCCTGGGTGGGTGGGGTGAGGGGCGTCAGAGGGGGTGGGGCCGGGTGGATGGGCCTGGGACGCTAGGCAGGAGCCTCACCTTGAAGATGTTGCGCAAGGGCATGGTGCCATGAGAGAAGCGATGCACGAAGAGTGTCTCCAGAAGGCGCTTGATGTAGTGGAATGAGTGGCAGATGCAAGCGAGGCTGGGGTAGGGGGAGCCAGTTCAGCGCAGGCCTGTCCACAGGCCTTCCCCCCACACCCCTCCATCCCCTCCAGCCCGGCCCACTCACTGCACCACCGTGTGCCGGCTGGACGTGAAGTCATATTTGTGGCCATAGATGAAGGGCACCCGGAAGTAGAAGAGCAGGTAGATGAAAAGGGGCCCCGCGTACTCTGTCAGGAACACCTGGGAGTACAGGGACAGTTGAGTCATCCCAACGTAGCTGATGGGTGAGGAGGCTGGGCAGGGTTGGGACTCACCGTCACCCAGCTGATCTGGGCCCCCAGGTCTCGGAAGTAAAGTGTGGCCGTGGTACCCACAGGCAGCTTCTGCAGAATATCCTCATCCTTCAGGGACTTGCCCTCTGTGGAGAGGCAGGCCAGGGCTCAGGGGCTGCCCAGGCCCTCCCCACTGCCACTGGGGTGTCCGGGAATGGCGAGCGGAGGGCTGTACTCACTAGGGTCCAGACGGAGGGACTGGCGGGCAGGGTACCACTGCGGATCTGTGGGGAGAGCGGGGCGTCACAGTGCACAGCCTGGCAGGGCCCAGGGACCCCACAGCACCTCCCGCCTCCAACAAAGCCCCTGTGGCCTATGTGGCTCCAGGACACGGCCCTAAAGAACATGAGCAGAAGCAGGATGTTGTCCTTCCTAAAGCCCAGCAATGGTATTCCTGCCGATGGCCACACGGGGGCGCCGCTGCAGGCACCAGGGGGAGAGGCTCCCAGGAGGCGTCACACCCAGAGGCCCCGGCCCAAACAGGCTGCAGAAGGCAGTGTGGCTGGGCCCTGGACTTACGGCTCTTAGTGAAAAGATTCTTGATCTCGGCGATGGTGGCATGGGGCTCCACCTGAGGGAAGCACAGGCCGCAGGGAAGTCAGCCCCATGGCGGGGAGCCCCAACCTCTGATGCAGGATCCCCGCTGGTGACGGGGGATGAACAAGGGCCTGGGTAGCTGCTATGGGAGCAGGAAAGATTGGGGTCCAGGCCCCCGCCCATATGGTGGAGAGGAACAGCAAGGGCGTGCCAGGCTGGGGACAGCAGTGGGCCTAAGGGCCAGTTTTACCAGGCAGCCAGGATGCTCCCAGCTGGCCAGTTTGAGCACAGGAAGCTGGGCCTACTTCTCTGCCTCTCCTCTCCACCCCTACCCCCACCCATGACTCCCTGCCAGAGTGAAGGCCCACAGTCCTGGCCAGACCTCCTTCGAGAAAGAATAAGCCCCGTCCCCCGGCCCTGCCTGCACAGGGGACAGGTCTCAACTCCACCTTCTTCCCAGGCCCGGAAGCCCTGCAAGGTCCACTGAGACAGCTCCACCTCCTCCTGTACCAGGAGGCTTGCTCCTGGCCACACCCAGGGGCCAGGGCTGCCACTCTACCCCCGACTGGCAGGGGCAGGCCAGGGACTGTACCCCTCAAGCATCCCCCCAGAAGGAGGGGGTGGGGAGTCAGGACACAGGTTGAAAGGTCACTCCCATCTCCCCCTGAACCAGGAGACTCCAGAAGGAATGTGGTCATGGGCCCAGCACCCTGGCCCAGTGCAGCTGGCGCCATGGCCCTACCTTGTCCAAGAAGCACAGCTTCTCCCGTGTCTTCGCGTCCAGAATCTCCACCTCAAAGAAAAGAACGGCCTTTTTAGGTTTCTTGGCCACCTTTGGGGGTGCGGGCCGGGGGAAGCCATTGAGGCCAAAGCTGGGGCCAGGGCCAAGGCCCTGGCTGGCCTCCCGGGCCACCAAGCTCATACTCAGGTCCATGCTGCCCCACTCTGCCTGTGCGGCCAGCAGCCCAAACTGCCAGCCGTCAGCCCCCACCACCAACCTCCCCACGCGCAACGCTCTGGGCCAGGCTGCGCGATCAAATTCTGCCGCGGTGCTGGAAAGGAGCCCACGCCTGCCCTGGCACTGTCACCTCTGTGCAGATGTAACCCGAGTGGCCCCACAGCCTTGCCCAGCTAAATATAAAACTGCCCAGGCTGAGTGCCCCCATGAGCCATGGCACAGGTCTACATGCCGACCCTGGGACTGGGTTACCCTAAAAGTGAGTCTTTCAGTGAACACAGCCCCCAAAGTGCACTGGGGAACAGGGAGATCCCCAGAGGGTGACAAGCCAGCGGGGAGCCCACACCCAGGCGCCGGGCTCAGGCCAGCAGAGTTCACTGGGCTTGAAGAAATCCCAGCTATTTTGAGAATCCACAAGACAGATCATCCATTTCCCCTTCTGAGCTGCAAGAGACACTCGGATTATTTCCCTTGTGCATTTGTGTGCCCGGGGAGGTGACAGATTCCGGAGTTATTGGTGCAGAAAGACTCTCTCTGTGTGTGGAAAGGGTCAGGAAACCAGGAAGTTTCCAGAAAGCTCCCAGGCCTAAGCTAATGAGGCCTCAGCTCCATCTCCCTGATCTCCCTTTCCACACATTTCTCACTAGATCCACCCAAGCCATGTTCAAGGCCACCTTGCAGACAGTCTTCCTGCAGTGTCGGCCCAACAGCCTTGTCCAGGCCCTGAGCCCCACAAAGTCCAGAGCACACAGCCCGCATGCACGCTCATTCTCCCTGAGCCCCAGGGGGATCTGACCCACTGCACACAGGTCAGAGCAGTGGAGGTGCGAACTGCTGGAGGAGCTGCAGTGAGGGCCTGCGGGCTCACCGATCCCAGGGGCCATGGCAGGCAGGGCTGGGTCTGACCCCAAGTCAGTCACTGGGTGGCAGGTGCTGAGGACCCTTCTCACCCCTGGTGGGCCCTCAGTCAGCGGCAGCACGGGATAGAGGAGCAGGACACGAAACTGCAGGCAGGGCCCAGGCCAGACTCTCTAAAATCATGCCACCCACCTGCTGGTGGGTTCCCTGCAGCTGTAGCCCACTCTGAACAAAGGGGCTCCCCAATACACCCTCTAATGACAGTGAGAAGGGCAGGAAACAAGGTGGTGGAACACAGGACTGAATCCAGCCCTGCCACACAGTCACTTCTCTCTGGGCCTCAGCCCATGGGCAGATAGGAAGGGTGTACCTTGTGGGTGAGGCTCCCGTGAGACAAGGTGCATGAAGTGCCAGCGTAGTGCCCAACAGATGCACAGTGCCCCAAAACCTTGGGTCCCGTGGAGCTACCACGAAGGGAAGAGTGTGGGCCTGGGTTCAGATCCCAGTCCCTCTGCTGATCTAGCTGATGGCTGCGGTGCCCACCCTCGTCATGGAGAGAAGTGTAGAAGAGAGCCCAGCACCCAAGTCCTGGCCAAGCTGCCTGTTGTCACTGCACTAGAGAGAGCTCTGCCAGGCCATGTGAACCCCTGAGCCACAAGGCCAGCCAGAGGGAGCACTGGGCCCACCAAGAGGACTCGTAGGAGAGGGAAGGGGCACACTCAGAATGTGCCAGAAAGGGCTAGAATAGCAGGGCCCCAGGCGGGCACAGGGCCTGCCCCGTGGCTGTAGGTATATTAATAGTTGCCGCGTCCCAAGCGGGCAGTGCCCACATGCCTTCGCAGCTCATGTGGTCACAGGAAGGCAGCACCGCGCCTCCAGAGAGACCAGGCCTCCGTACCACTCAACAGCTTAAAATACAACCAGCCCCTCTCCCTGCCTGCCATCTGCTGGGGGAGGGCCGAAATCCTACCCTCCCCACAACTGGGCACCGCACCAGGGCCTGGGAGGAGAGGACAGCCCATCGGGGGCCCCAACTGGCTGCCGGGAGAGGTAGCTGGACAGCAGGAGGAGGCAGCCAGGAGAAGGGCCGCACTCCCAGCCGCAGCCGTACTGTGCCCAAAACTGCACCCAGGCCGGGGAAGAGGAGCGGCTGACCCTCACAAAGGTAAGCCCGGCCCTCGGGGCAGCACCCAGGGGCCCGGCCCACCAGGCCGGAGGCTGCCCCGGCTCAGGGCCACCGCAGCAGGATCGGTCCTCACTTCCCATTTCCTGCCCCCAAATCCTGGGACCCAGCAGCCATCTTCATCCCAAGAGAGGTCTGAAAGGCCCAGGGGGTCGGGGAGAGACCCAGGATCTCTCTGTACTATTTGTACAGCTTTCTGAGCCTCTATAATTACTCCAAAATAAAAAGTTAAATAAAAGTTACGCTAGGTGGAAAAACACAAAAGTTTTGCTAGGTGAAAGGAGCCAGACACAAAGTGTCACATATTTATAATCCAGGGAGACAGAAAGCAGGCTGGTGGTTAGTTGCCCAGGGAGTGTCGACTAATAGAGACTTGGTCTCCTTTTGGGGTGATAGAAAGCTGTGCAACTAGATAGAGGTGGTGGTTACATGGTGGCTGTGAATGTACTAAATGCCACTAAACTATTCACTTTTAAATGGTTAATTTTGTTATGTGAATCCTAATAAAAATTTTAAAGGCGGCGGGGGCGGGCATCTAACAAATAGGCCCCAATTACCCATCAAAAAAAGCTCTACAGGCAGAGAGCAACAGAGGTTCCCCACCCCCACCCCACTCCCAGACTGAGGGCCTAAATGTGAGGGGACCCAACGTGACATGAGGAAAAAAAATATGTGTGTGTGTGTGTGTGTGTGTGTGTCCCAAGCACACCTCCCACGCCCTATGCTTCACACACACACACACACACACACACACACACACACCACATGCCTGCCCAGGCCTGAGGCAGCCTGGCGTGGGGACCGAGGGCAGGCCCAGGACTGAGATCAGACAGCGCAGATAGCTGCGGAGCACAGAAGGGGAGGCCGCAGGCCCAGGCCCATCCCTGGGGAGAAGGCGGGCTAAGGGGCAGGGAGGGGGCAACACATTCTACTCTATGGATGAATGAAGCGAGGCCTGTGAGGGGATCAATGGCCTGAGGTCCCCCAATGGCTGCAGGCAGGGAATGTGGCCCTGGTGGCCTACAAGGGACAGACGACAAGAACAGACCAGGCACCCCAGCCTAGCCTAGGGCACATGCAATGATAGTTCCACCCAGACAAACTCCCACTCAGGGCCCAGGCAACAGCAACTCGTTGCAGCACAAGTTGGTGCGGCGGGGGAGGACCAGGACAAGGGGCAAGGCCACAGCCCACGCTGCAGGAGAGGCAGGGGCCATGCTGTGGCCTTCCCTAGCCCAGGGGAAAGTACCCAGAGCCACTGCCCAGTGGCAGGGCCCCCGTGGCCTTCACAGTCTTCATGGAAATAAAGATGTTACTGATCAAGGTAGCAATAGCAGAAAGAGGGGCACCGTTTCCTGAGCACCTGCTCTGAGTTAGAACCACTGCCCAGAGCTGTCAGGGAGGCAACGCTCCAGGGATGGACCCTGTCTGGCAATAAGAAAACCAGAGAGCAGTTTTGCGACTGTAGGAGAGGCTTAGGGCCTTTGCATGTGCTGTTCCCACTGCCTAGAACACTCTACCCAGACTCGACAGGGCTCTTCCCTCACCTCCTCTGGCCTTCAGACAACTTTTCAGTGAGGCCCTTCCTGACCATCAACTTAAAATATCCATCCCCAGACATTTACCACCTGCCTCCCACCGGGCTGTCAATCATTTCCAAGGCCTGGAACACAGCCTGGCACAGAGCTGTGCTCTGTAAACCTGTGTGAGGCACCTGGCCAAGGACTCACCTATTTCCTGGCTGTGTGGCCCTAGACAAGCTACTCTTCTGAACCTCTATTTCCTCATCTACAAAGGGACTACCTCCCCTAGGGTTACTGTAAATTTTAGAGATAATAACCACCAAAAAAAAAAGTACATAAACATATCCAGTCTAGAATAAATCTTATAAAGAATATATATAATATAGACCAATACTAGTGAAATAGCACTGCTAGATGCCCAGGGAGCCAGGCCCCTTCTCCCCAAATCCTGACCACGGCCATGAAGGGGCCCATCGACAGGACACCAAGGTCAGAGAGGTGGTGCAAAGATGCTTCATCCAGCTGCTGACAGTCAGCCGAACCCTAACAATAGCAAGACACACGTGGGTGGGAGAGCTGGGGCGGTGCCATCGCTACTACAATTCACCACTGTGCAGAAGGCTGCCACATCTCTGCTGCCCCCTTGTGGCCCCAGCTTACATCCCACCCGCTAAAAGGGCAAAGGCAGCGAGCGGCATTGCTCCAGTTTCAAGGTCCCGACTCCAGTACAGGATGGGGCCAAGATGGGACCAAGAGAAGGAGCGCTAACCCCAGCTCTGCCACTGACCAGCCACTTCCCCACATTCATTCATTCCTGCCCCCCTTCTTCCCATGCCTGGGCACTGCCGTGAACAAAACCCCAGGGGACCTGAATTCCAGTCTGTACGTGCAGGGGGATAGGGAACAAGGGGCAGGGGCATGTTTTGTCACCAAAGGTGTGAAGAAAAAGAGAAGGGGCATAAGGAGTGGGGAGGATGACCATTTTAGAGTGGTCAGGGAAGGCTTCCCTCAGAGAGGGGCATCTGAGCAAAGGCCAGCAGAAAATGAAGGAACAAACCACACACATATCTGGGGAAAAGTGTTCGGCAGCAGGA